ATTCAACATTTCAATCTTCATTTTTCATATTTCATGACATTTTTGTTATCAGATAATCTAGTGTAATTAAATAATAATTGAAGTTTAAAAATACATTAGATTTTTGTTTAACTTTATGTATATGCAAATTTCAGCTTTTATTGAAATTGAAGCATGCCACCACATACTAAAAATTTCCCCTACTAAAGGATTAGAAGGTGCACTGAGTATAGATATAGGTTGGCACTTTGGAGATCCAGTTCCAAATACGAAATAAAATGTTGTATGCAAACTTTGTGGCAAAGTTACGAAATGAGGAATAACACGGTTTAAAGAGAACATTGCTCATAAAACTGGTGAAGTTACACCATGAAAAAATGTCAATGGTATGTGATAGTGATACTTTATAATTATTTTTTGACACATTCTTTATAATTATATTTAGATGTTAACAATAAAGATTATACATAATGCATAGTGTGAATTATATTTATTTGATTAGAAGTATCATTAGAGAAAGAATGATGAAATTATTTAAAGAAGCCAAGGAAAAGAAAATGGACAAAAAGAGGAGAACAAATGACTTCTTATCACAAGTAAGGGAAGATGAGGAATTCATAGATGATGTTTCTTCTATGAGATAAGCCACTCGAGAAAATATCCAATCACAACAAGAGTGGCATAAAATAGAAGAATTCAAACAAAGTACAGGTGGTTGGGGTAACGTTTATGAAGAAAGATGATCTTCTTCTCAAGGGTCATCTGGAAGATATCGTGGAGAAAAAATCCATCCCAAGTGAGACTGAATTTAATTTAAGGGGAACTATACCTGAATTGGTTAAGAGAAAAAGCTCAAGACAACTAAAGGTTAGCGAGTCTATTTTAAAGACATTGTGTAAAAAGATGGGTGAAGTAATCTCAAAATTTTTAGTATACGACAGACTTCCTTTCCAATTAGCAAGCTCGCCTTGGTTGTATAACTTAATTCAAGTATCGATTGAAGTTAGACAATGTGTAAAGCTCCCAACACCTTATGAGATTTTATATGTGTACTTGACATCGGAGTATGAACAAGTTCGTGAATGGGTAAATGGACTGGAGACACATTGGAAACATTTGGGTGCAACCCTGATGTGTGATGGTTGGACCAATAGTTTAAATCAAATCCACATCATCAAGATCCTTGTTTATTGTAGTAAAGGAACCATATTTTGGAAATTTATGGATGTCTTGAACGTTCGTAGTAGAGATGTTGAATTCTACTACAATTTGTTAGATAAAGTTGTTGAAGAAATTGGGGAAGAATATATTATCCAAATAGTGACTGACAATGAAGAAGCAATGAAAGTTGTCGGGAAAAGATTAGTGTTGAAAAGAAACCATCTTTAATGGACCTCATGTGCATCTCATCGCTTAGATTTATGCCTTGAGGATATTGGAAAAAAGTTCAGTGTAGCAAAAGTGTTAGAAGAAGTGAAAAGTGACTTGCTTCATATATAATCACATTTAAACCATTGATTTGATGAAGAAATATACTCACGGTAAGCAAATTCTTCGCCCTGCTCTTACTCGATTCGCTACTCATTTCATACAACTTGAGGATATAACAAAATGTTTAACTCAAATTTCAATATTTAGTTAATATAATTACTCAAATAAGTTAATTGTGTTATTGATTTTTTTTATTATAAAAATGTAGGAATTCAAAGAATCAAAATGGGGATAACAAAAATCAGAGTCTACTTACGAAGCCAAAAAATTTGTTTTGGGAAAAGATTTTTGGAAAAACCCCGTTGACATCATAAAAGTTTATGAACCCCTAGTCAAAGTGTTGAGGCTTGTGGATGGTGATGAAAAACCAACAATGAGCTTTATTTATGAGGCCATTGATAGAGCTAAACGAGGAATTAAGGAAAATTATCGATATTACACCGAGTATGAAAGAATTATTGACAATATATGGAATTTTATCCATTCTCACTTGCATTCAACTGGTACGATAAATTATTTGATATAATTAAGAATTATTTTTTATTTTATTATTTTAAGTTTTAGAATTTATAGTATTATCATTTGAGCATATTCTTATAAATTATTATTAGGTTATTTCCTCAATCCTCAATTTCAATTTGAGGTGGAGCATTCTAAGAATGTATTGGCAAAAACATTATAAGGTACAAGATCGGTGGTTGAAAGATTAGAACCTTCTATCGATAATCAAATTAGAATGGTTAATCAAGTTAGATTCAACTATTATCATTTGTAACTTAGTTAAATGATTTGAAATTGAATTATTTTCTCATTTTTACTCAAACGTTTGTTCATGCAATTGTTACTATTTTGAAGTAAATACGAGATATTCGGTACTCCACAAGCACAAATAGTTTGGAATCAAATGAATTCGGGTAAATAATTAATTAAATTATTTATATTATATTTATTTAATTATATTTTACCTTTTGATGTTAGTTTGAAATTTAAATAATATTATGCAGCTGAGTGGTAGGTGATATATGGAACATGTACTCCTGAATTACAAAGATTAGCTATTAAAGTGCTTAGTTAGAAAACTTCTACATCAAATTGTGAAAGAAATTGGAGCACATTTAGCTATATTCATACCAAATCAAGAAACAGGTTGAAGTACAAACGCCTAAAGAAACTAGTGTTTACCTATTATAGTATGACGATTAAAATGAGGCATAAAAAAGAATGAGCATTGATGATATAAACGCTAGTTACAATCCTATCAGGCTTGATCATATCTTTGAGGATATTGATGCACTATCAGAATGGCTTCAAGAGAAAGAGAATCTGTTGTTAGATGGTGAAAATGGCAGTGTGTTGCTTGTGGATGCCTCAGATGATGAAATAAATATTGATGATCAATCTCAACAAAAAAATTTAGCTCATTCAAGTTTTAGTGCAACGCCAAGTCAGAGTGGTGATGGGCTCGATGGTGGTGTTTTAAGTCCAATTGATGACGATGAGAGACAGAGTGGTGATGGACGTGATATTAAATCTTCTGGTCAGTATGGAGAATAATATGTTTATACTGGTTGTGGACATTTTTGTGATAGGTTAGAATTCAGAGGAAATATGTCAGATAGATCTAGTAGAGAAAGAAGTGACCCTAGAGCTCAATCAAAAGGAAAATAGAAAGACACCAAAAAAATACTCCTGAAGGTTCTTCTTCTGGTAGGTGATCAACTTCTAGTAATCCTGGGTATAGTGATTTATCTACTAGCACCCATGGTTTTATCCACCGAGACAATCTTCATATTTTCAACCTTCACAAGGTCATTATCCACCATTTCCTAACTATGGTGTGCCATATCACCCTCAAATGCACCCTCCGCCACCAATGTATCCCCAACCTCCACCTCATATGTATCTTATTCCTCAAATATATCCTCCATCTCAATTATTTGAAAATCATGGTGAAAATGTTACATTTTTTGGATATATTTTTGGACAAAGACCACGACCAAGTGAAGAGCACTCACAAAGTAAAGGTGAAGGATATGATCTTCCTCGTCATTCCACTAATTGGTGAAACTGCTACTAGCCATTTCTAAGGTATGTTTTGCCTATGAAAAGAATCTATTTCTTTATGCTATTTAGTTAGTTAACATTTTAATTTACTTTGTTCGATTGTTTTTAGATTAAAAGAGAGACATTCATAATGAAGATTGTTGAACATCTTAACATAGTTAGGTTGCATGAGGTATTCATTATTTTAATTATTGTACGTATACTTTTTTTTTTTTGCTTTAATGAAGATTGTTTTCTTTTGGTGATTTTGTGTTTGGTATGTTTTTTTCTTTAATTATTGCATGAGGTATGTGTTGTTTTTCTTGCTTTCATTTGAGATATACATTATTAATATATATATTATTCTTGAGTTTTTTAGTGAATGATAACTCTTTATTAAATCGGTAAAGAATCTCTTGTCTCATAGTTATAGCAAAATTTATCTTTATCCATATTAATTTCTTTAGGTTTTTCCTATGTTTATAATCTTATTTCTTTTAAATAATAATGTATTCAAATTCATCATTAATTAGTTATATTATCCTATCACCGAATTTTTAAAGTCTTCTATTTGGTTAAATTATGTTTTATATATATATGTCTTTTTCACTTAGAAAATATTCTAAAAATCATTAAAAATGACTTTTTATAATTATAATTATTTTGTTTTAGGATAAGTTGTGCAGAATTTAAAAACAAATTCATGACTTTGACACCCACAGTAACCGCAATGACATCCGTTATGTCCACAACCGTGATAAACGCGACGCGACCGAAAGCATGACTACGAACGCTATTTAAATCCCTGCCAATGACCGTAACTTTTCTGAGTTGAGGATTGGATCTGGTGACAACAGCACACCCATCTTCTCTCCTTAGCCTGCATCAGTCATCGTCAAAGCGTTTGTGGAGTAGCGTTGGTTGGTTGGTTCCCTCCCAAGGATGGATTTCTTTTTTCTTCCGTTTAGGTTTCCTTTTTTGTGTTTGTTTTATTGTATAGCATTGATTTTGAGTTTGCTGCATTCATTTTAGGCACACTTTTTTCTTGGTTTTTGTTTTTCATTATTGTCCTATTTCCAATAAAATCCAGCCGATTCATTTTCAACATATATATATATTTCTGTTTTTATAATTTTTATAGTTTTAAATAAATTTAACTATATTATCTTTTTTATTTTCAAATGTTTTTTATTTTTTATATATTATTTATACAAATTAATCACTTCTGTGATGATGGTGATTTTCTTTGAATCTTTGTGACCTTAATAATTGAGAGGATGAATCTATAGTGGACGTAGTAATTATTGTAGTAGTAAAAAGAGGAAACCATAGGAAAGAAGTAAAATGGGAATCCATATAAAAGTGTGGGCTGATATGATGTCAAGCTCAGAACTTCAGCCATTTGCATCACCATCGACTTTTTGTTTTTATAATTAATGCAACTGCACCCACTACCATATATGACGCAATACACTTTCTTTCTTTTATTTTTTTTTCTTCTTCTTCTACATTTGTGGCGTTTGATATTTGGCTTAATTTCTATCAAATTACTCGTTGATAAACATTCTTCAAAGCTCAAGCAGCAACCACTGGCTCGGCTTTAGAATTCTTGGAGGTGGTTGAAGAGGCGTGGGCATGGCGGTCCTCTCTCTTTGAAGCCGCTGCAATTGCATTCTTTTCTTTTCTTTCGTCTTCCTTCATCTGCTTTTCTCTGCACTCGAGACTACAAAACGCAGTATCCCCCCTGCAAAAACAAATAAAACGAAGCTCACTGACAAGGATTCAAACTAGAGTTAAACAAGGGGGAGAAAGGATTATGTGAAAAAGGAGAAAAATACCTATACATATATATGTTACGACCAGGAGCTAAGCGGCTATTACAAAGCCAACAAGACTGCAAAAAAGGAGATGCGCTTGTGGTACCGTTGACTACATGGTTAGTAAAAGCTGATCTTTCTGAAGATCGGTTTTTGGGAGACACCATGGCCGAGAAACGTTGATCCGAACGGGAGTTACCGTCGTGGAATTCACGGTGGGGAGGGGGAGGATCAGATACAATTGGGTGTTGGTCGACGACTTCCTCCAGGTTGGAGGCATCGACGACGGTGATCTCCGTCATACTTGTCGTTTTCTTGATCGACTGGCGTGTACGTTTTCCTAGCAACATCGTGTGTTATATATTTACGTTGTTTTTTTCTCTTTTTCTTTCTCGAGGGATTTGTAAGGAGAAAGAAAGGAAAAGGGAGTAAAAATGGAAGAAGGTGAAGGGGCAGATAAATTAAACGAGAAGGGAATGAGAATGAGAGGGAGAGGGAGAGGGAGAGGGAGAGGGAGAGGGAGAGGGAGAGAGAGAGAATCTAAGCCGCACAGGGTCTCAATGAAGTCCACCTCATGCTTTAGTTATTGTTACTTATTTATGGGTAAAGTATAGTAATGGTCACTGAACTTTTATAAAGTTTTCATTTAGATCCCTTAACTTTAAAACTTGTAATACAGTTCTCTAACATTTATTTCGTTTGCAATATGGTCCCCGACATTATACTACCGTTAGTTCGTTTGTAATATGGTCACTGAACTTTTCAGGCGCTTGCATTTAGGTCCCCCAACTTTAAAACTTGTAACACAATCCCCAATTTCATTTTAAACTTCAAATTCTTTTTCGATATCGAATTTTCTTTAGAAAATAAATATGAAAATTTTATCATAAATGTAACCCTCCAGACCCTGTCTGTAAGTTAGACTCAAACCTAAGTGGTCACATATCCCATTCAAAGTTTTTTTAATACATTAGATATAATATAAAACAAAATATTAATAATACAGATATATCCAAACACAATAGCAATACATGTCACCAAACATAACCGAAAAACCTATAGAGATATACGTTCGTACAAAATAAGTAGTTGATCTCTCCTGATGCCAAATCTGCTAGCTTACAGTCTGCTATTATCTGAAAAAGGATAAAAACTACAGAATGAGCTAAAAAGCCCAGTGTGCTCCAAACAATGTATTAAAAACATACGAATAAAATATTCCAGTAAAATCGATTATCAAACATGTTTTTAAATATGAACACTACCCCCATCCGTCAAGTCCAAAATGTGTAGGTTCCCCAGAACCATACACCCACCAACAAGTCCAGTAAGGCCCTGAGCACACAGCAAAGGAACCGGTAAATAAGGCCCTGAGCACACAGCATAGGAGCCTCCAGGTATACTTCCTCCATCATTACCCCCAAATAAATCATGTTCCGCTCATAACGGATATATATATTTCAAAAATTAAAACATAATTCAGGTCAGGTAACAGATCAGAATCCATGTCAAGTATCATATCAAAATTCAGGTCAGGTAACAGATCAGAATCCATGTCAAGTATCATATCAAAATTCAGGTCAAGTATCATATCAGATAATTATTCATATGATAGTTTAAAACAGTAAGATAACACTGTCAGGAAACACACCTGTAACAGTCTGAGAATCAGATAGGGAAGCCTACTACTGGGTTTGTCGATCACGCTCTGCTGCAGCGCTAGATCCTACGAATTGGAAAAATCCATATTGGAATCCTAATATATATAAAAAATCTTAATTTTTATTTAAATCATATACGGAAACCTACGAGTAATTCTTGTATTACGCGGTTCGGACTGATCTGATGAACGGACAACACCGGACCTAATTGATCCTCGCTCAGGTGAAACACGAGTACCTTCATAAAATATCTTACTTAATCAATTCCTTAACCATATCTCAAATAAATAATCAAAATACTAAAATACTAAGCCTATTTGGGTTCACATGTCAATTCAGAGATTTCGGGTCAGAATTTGACAAAACGGACTTCGGAATCAAATTCAGGACGTCGAAAAATATAAAGTATGACCTTCCGAAATTTTGAATTCTTGGTTAAAATCAAAGTCAACGGGTTTGACTGATAATTATGAGACTTTCGGGTTCGAATTTGGCGAAACGGACCCCAAAAACATATTCAGAACGTCAAAAATTATTAAAATAGATATATTCGGAAAAGATTAACGGTCGTTTAATAGCCGATCAAAATTCTGGTCAAAAGAAGTCAACAACCTGTCAACCATTTTACAGAAATAACACCCTTTTTTAATAATTACTAAAATAGCCCCTTTTTTTAATTAATTAAAAAAATAAAACACATTTCGAATTAATTCCCAAAATAGCACCCATTTCGAATTAATTCCCAAAATAGCACCTATTTCAAATTAATTCCCAAAATAGCACCTGGTCAACGGTTGGGTCGGGTCAACGGGTCGGGTCAAAACTGGTCAAACCGGTCAAACCCTTTGAAAAACCGGTCAAACCGGTCATTTTTTACTTCCCCACGGGCAGTGGGGGCGCGTGAGGGATCTTCTAGCAACGGAAAATTCACGGAATATTTCTTAAAAATTACTTTGAGAGATTTCGAGATACTTACAAAACTCGGTTCAAATTTTTGAACGGCAGAGAGCTCGATTTCATCAAATCGGAAACTTTGACCGCTTCATCTCCCCATGCGCCGCCATCGACGGAGACCGAGGATGACACCGGCGGACTCAGAACGGCACAAGGAACACGATGGTGCGGGAGGTGTCATAAACGGAGCAACGATCGGCGATGAATTTAAGATTTTCTCGGCGATTGAGCTAAAAAACGTCGAGACTTTGACTGGAAATTCCCGGTGTTTGGCAGTGTTTCGCTTCAATTTAACGGGTTTGTTCCTCGCTCGATGATGAACACGATGGTGGTTTCAAAACAACGATCAGAATTCGGATGGCGTCGGGATCGTTGTCGGAAGTTGACGTTGGGGAAGGAAGTTTAGGCTCAATTTAAGAGCAATTGGTTTCTGTTTTTTCATAAACCAATTGCCGTATATAATACCAAACTTCACCAATTTTTCTTGGGTAAATTCAAGGCTTGGTCCCCAAATTTTCTTTAACTCTAAAACAAGCTACAAATTTTTAAAATCTTTTTATTTAATCCCTAAATTTCACCAAATTACTTAATTAAAACCTCAAATTACAATTATATATTTTTTTTCAAATTTCCGGGTTGTTACAATTCTCCCCCTCTACAAGAAATTTCATCCTCGAAATTTACCTTATGCAAATAGATGAGGAAATTGAGCCTCCATTGACTCCAATGTCTCCCAAGTAGCTTCTGAGGGACTACGATTACTCCATTGAATTTTGACCATTGGAATACGCCTATTCCGACGAACTCGTTCATCCCTCTCTAAAACCTGAACAGGCTCCTCCTCATATGACAAATCAGGTCTTAGCTCTACCTCATCAACTTAAATGATGTGATCTGGATCTGGACGGTATCGCCTCAACATAGACACATGTAAAACATCATGAATACGACTAAGCTGGGGAGGCAACTCAAGGTGATAAGCAACAGGTCCAACTTTCTTAAAAATACGATACGGCCCAATACATCGCGGACTCAGTTTACCCTTACGTCCAAATCTCAACACCTTCTTCCATGGAGATACCTTGAGAAAAAACTGATCTCCAACCTCAAACTCGATATCCTTGCGTCGCTTATCTGCGTATGATTTCTGCCTATCGAATACTTCTTTTAAGCGATCACGGATCAATCTGACAGTATCTTCAGTCTCTCGAACCAAGTCTGGACCCAAAAGTTTTTTATCATGCAACTATGTCCAACATATAGGAGTACAACATCTACGTCCATACAGAGCCTCATATGGTGCCATGCGAATACTCGCCTGATAACTATTATTGTAAGCAAACTCAGCTAACGGCAAGAAATCTTCCCAACTACCACAGAAATCAATCACACAACCTCATAACATGTCCTCCAACACCTAAATTACTCGCTCAAACTGTCCATCAGTTTGAGGATGAAAAGATGTACTGAAATTCAAACGAGTACCCAAAGCCTCATGCAAAGCCTTCCAGAACCTGGAAGTGAACCTCAGATCTCGATCAGATATGATAGACAACAGAACACCATGAAGTCTAACGATCTCAGAAATGTACAACTTAGCCAGTTTGTCCAGAGAATAATTAATACGGATAGGAATAAAGTGCACTGACTTGGTGAGTCGATCAACAATCACCCAAATAGAATCCTTTTTAGAAAGAGTCAGAGGAAGACCAGTAACGAAGTCCATTGTAATGCGCTCCCATTTCCACTCAGGAATCTTAATTGACTGCAACAATCCAGATGGATGCTGGTGTTCTGCCTTAACTTGCTGACAAGTCAAACACCTCACCCCAAAATCTGAAATATTCTTTTTCATATCAGTCCAGAAGTAGCGCTCCTTGAGATTATTGTACATTTTGTCCCCGCCAGGATGCATAGCATAAGGACTACTATGAGCCTCCTGAAGAATAACCTATCTCAATTCATCATCTTTAGGAACACAGTAACGACCGTGAAAACACAAAATACCTTCCTGATCCACATTATACTCTGAACTCGATCCTTGCTTAACTTGCTCAATAATGGAAAGCAATGAGCTATCCAGAAGTTATTTGGTCTTAATCTCCTCGGCCAAAGTAGGTTTAACCTGCAACTCTGCTAATAGACTATTATCATCAAATAAACTCAAGTTGGCAAACAAGGCTCTGAGATCTGATATAGCCTTACGGCTCAAGGCGTCTGCCACTACATTAGTCTTCCCTGGATGATATTCTATCTCTAAATCATATTCCTTTAAAATCTCCAACCAGCGACGCTGTCTCAAATTCAATTCTTTCTGAGTAATCAGATACTTCATACTCTTATAATCAGTATAAATATAACACTTTTCTCCGTATAGGTAATGTCTCCAGATCTTTAAAGCAAAAACCACGGCAGCTAACTCCAGATCGTGAATAGGATAATTACGCTCTTGCGGCTTTAACTGACGCGAAGCATAAGCGATGACCTTCCCATCTTGCATCAAAACACATCCTAATCCAGAATGAGAAGCATCACTGTAGACAGAAAAATCTTTCCCAGATTCAGGCTGAATCAACACTGGGGCTTGAGTTAGAACAGTCTTCAGTTTCTCAAAGCTAGCTTGTTGGTCCTCAGACCAGACAAATGGAACATCCTTCCTCAATAGTTTCGTCAGAGGAGCAGCAATAAGGAAGAACCCCTCAACAAAACGACGGTAGTAACCAGCTAAACCCAAGAAACTACGGATCTCCGAGACGTTCCTGGGTTGCTTCCAGTTCAGAATGGCCTCCACTTTGCTCAGATCCACCTGAATGCCATCAGTAGAAACGATAT